CAGTGAGTGGGAACCGGTCTCCACATGGGATCTGAACCCTCGGCGGGAGCGCCGCTGCACTACCAAGCGGCTCACTCTCTAGTGCGCCACCGGGCCGGCCCTCTAGCTGCTTTTAAGATTTTCTTTTTATCACTGGTTTTAAGCAGTTTAATTGAGTGGTCCTTGTGTAGTTTTCTTTGTATTTCTTTTGTTTCGGGTATGTTGAGGGTCTTAGATCTGTGCATTTACTATTTCTATCGAATTTGGACAATTTCAGTCATTTAAATTTTTTTTTACTTTTATTACAACATAGAGTAAGATTAACTTTTTTTGGTGTAAAAGTTCTTTGAATTTTAAAACATATGTATAGATTCATGTAAACCACCACTGCATTCAGGATGCAAAACCATTCTATCAACCTAAAAACCACCCTTGTGCTGTGTCTTTGTAGATAATTGTTGTTTCCTGAAATATTCTGTCTCTTCACCTTCTGGCTCCAGTTACGTGTATATTAGGGACAAGTTGAAATTGTCCCACAGCTCACTGATATGCTCATCTTTTTGTTGTATTTTGAGGGTTTTTTCCTCTTTGTGTTTCACTATGGGTATCTTCTACACATATGGAATATTTTCAAATTCACTAAACTTTTCCTCAGCAGTGTCAAATCTTATTAATCCTGCATGGTGTATTTTTTGTCTCAAGATTCTACTTATCATCTGTAGATGTATATTTGGACCAATTTCCATGTCCGTTCTTTTTGTTTGTTTGTTTGGGTTTTTTTGGTGGCTGGCTGTTGCAGGGATCTGAACCCTTGACCTTAGAGTTATAACACTGCACTCTAACCAACTGAGCTAATGGGCCAGCCCCATGTCCCTTCTTAATGTACTGTTGCATTTTTCATCTTCTTGAACGTATGAATATATTTATACTATCTTTTTAAATGCCATTGTCTTCTAATTCTGTTATCTATACCATTTATGATCTGTTTCTGTTTATTTTCTCCTCCTTAGTGGTCATTGCTGCACCTTTACATACCTTCTACTGTTTGATTGGATGCCAAACAACATGAATTTTATGTTGTTGGGTGTTGGAATTTTTTAATTTTTTTATATATTTTTGAGCTTTATTGTGGGACTCAGTTAATTAGAAAGTTTGATCCTTTCAAGGCTTTTTAAACTTTATTAGGTTGGTTCTGAGCAGGCTCTAGTCTGAGGCTGTTTCTCAACCTTGGTACTTTGACATTGGGGACAGCCAGGTAAATTCTTTGTTATGGGGTGCTGTCTTGTGCTTCGTAGGATGTTAAGCCGCATAACTGGCCTCTACTTGCCGAATGCCAGTAACACCACTTAGCATGAGCTAAGAAAGATTTTTACATTTTAAAAAAGTTGTTTAAAAAAAAAAAAAAGGAAAGAATAATATGCAATAGAGATCACAGTTTATGGCCAAAAAAGCCAGAATATTTACACAGAAATTTCTAACCCCTGCTATGGGAGACATTCTTTTACTATATGAGACAAATGGTAATACGACAAAAAATTCTTATTTTTAGAACATAGCTAAGAGCACAGGCTTTGAAATTTGAAAGTGTATGATTTGAATTCAGTTATGTGTCTGCCACATAATAGCTATTTGACATTGGTCAAAATTTTAACTCTGCGCCTTTTTTCTCTCTTGTGAAATAGAGCCAATATATATTTATCCCTTAGGTTTGTTAGAGAGTTAAATGAAAATGAATAAAAGTGTACCTTAGTCCGTGTAAATATTAGCCGTTACAGTTATTTCAGGAATGTGCCCCTTATTTATAATTTACCTTGATGGGTATATAATAGTCATATTTTGCTAATTTGAAGGATTATCATCTGTTATCTTCTAGGTCACGCAGAAGGATTTTGTATGATGTGTACAATGCAAGCGCATATTACCCAGGCACTCAGTAATCCTGGTGATGTTATTAAACCAATGTTTGTCATCAATGAGATGCGGCGTAAGTATCAGCTATAGTGGTTTGTATTGGTATTTATTAGCTAGTTAGTCTTAATGGCCTAATTAGTAACAACAACAACAAAAAAATCCCCTCACGTATTACAGAACTAACAATGTATTTTATCATATACAGATATATCTTTAATAACAAATTTTTAGGAAAATACTTACTATATAAACTTGTTTTGAAACCTTGAAGCAAAAGATAATATAATAAAGGAGACAGTATTCAGTTTAGTACAAGCAAATTTTTTTTTTTTTCCTTTTTGTCTCTTTTCATGTCCGGCAATGGATCGCAACCCTCAGTGGTTGCGCCCGTACCGGACGGGACCGGCAACGGGATCGCAACCCTCGGCGTTGTACCCGCACCTCGCTCAGCCAGTGAGCGGGAACCGGTCTGTATGTGGGATCCGAACCCTCGGCGGGAGCGCTGCCACACTCCCAAGCAGCGCACTGTAGCAGTGCGCCACCGGGCCGGCCCCTAGTACAAGCAAATTTTAAATTATTATTATTTATTTTATTTTACTTATTTATTTATTTTTTTTAACAGATAACCGGTAAGGGGATCTTAACCCTTGACTTGGTGTTGTCAGCAGCATGCTTTCCCAAGTGAGCTAACCGGCCATCCCTATGTGGGATCCAAACCCGTGGCCTCGGTGTTATCAGCACCACACTCTCCCAAGTGAGCCACGGGCCGGCCCAAGTTTTAAATTATTTTAAACTGAATTTATTAATAAAATTATCGATGAGTTTTACAGAGTTTTTTTCCCCCAGGTGTTTGGATTTCTGTGTTGAGTAGTAACTCTGATATTGTCCCACAGGTTTGTTTAAATCACTTTTAGTTGGTTTTAATTTGGTGAATGAATATTACACTACACATAGTGACAGGAATTTTAAAAATAAAGTTAATTATAGTCTTTTTTAAAAATATAAAGCTTGATAAATAATTATACTCTTAAAGAGAAATTTATACTTACAGGTTAGCAAATTTGTGCATAAATTTCACATTTTTCTATTTAATTTAAAAATTTTAAATAGGTTACATGAAATTTTCTTATGTATTTTCCGTGTGTTCTTTCAGTAAACTTTTCCATCATCTTAATTAGCTGAGTTAAAAAATGCATACAAACTTTAAAAACTATAACTCTTAATCTGATACCTAGCTGGGTAATTGTAGAGGTGCATAATTATACAGAGACAAACTATAATCCTTTTGCCTAAAAAGCTGCTGAAGATTAAAGTGGTGTCATATTGGCCCTTGGCTTTACTGACAGGCCAGAGCAGACAATGCAAGAATCTTTAAAACATTGTTGGATCCTGGCAGAATTTTAGTCAGGGCAAGTTTTGATTGTTTATACATATATTTATTTTTATACATACATATATGGCAGGCGTGAGTAATATTTTTAATCTAATCTTTAAGAAAATGATTGCTCTGTGTGTATATACATACATCCACAAATACACACATAGTTGAATCGTGAAATTGCCATTTTTGTAGGTCAAAAATGGTGGAATAATGGCAGTTTCATATGATTCAACCTAGTATATATTTTTATACATTCATACGCATATAGAGGGATAGGTTGGGTAAAGGGCATAAAGAAAAGTCATGATTTGTAATAATGAATATGCTTATAATAAAAATTAAAAAACAAAATTCAGTATATAACATGTTTTATTGTAATATTTATACTTTTTTGTTAATGGCTTTTATTATAATCTAATAATACTTCAGTCTTGCAGTTGCTCATTCAATTAGAAATAGGACTGAAATGTTATTGTGCAACTGAGAATGTAATTTGTTCTGTAGGTCATTAGGATAGAATTTAGATAGGTTTGGATATTTATTTTTTCATGGATTCTCTTATTATGGAGATCTAGCACCAGATTTAAAATGTGTAAACCAATGTAACATTTTGGACAAATTTTTGATACAATATAGCCATCATTGAATGTATTCACAAACAGTTTGGTTTTTTTTTTGTCTTTTTCGTGACCGGTAAGGGGATCGCAACCCTTGGTGTGGTGTCGCCCACACCGCACTCAGCCAGCGAGCGCACCGGCCATTCCTATGTAGGATCCGAACCCACGGCGGGAGCGTCGCTGCGCTCCCAGCGCCGCACTCTCCCAAGTGCGCCACGGGCTCGGCCCTTCACAAACAGTTTTATTAACTTGGAAAAGACATGAATCTAACTCTGTCATTACCCTCTGGACTCCCAGAAGAGCTCCCCTGTGGGCTCTTAATGGTCTAAAGGGCATGGTCCTGGCTGTTCTTAGGGCAGCTTGTGTTAGTACTATTTCCTCATAAAATAATTATTCAGGGGTCTTCTAACCAACATGTTACCATAAGGTATAACATTTTGGGGTACAGCCCAGGGAGATTATATGTAATAAATAAAAATAATGCCTTGTCTTTACTTACATTTAACAGGTATAGCTAGGCACTTCCGTTTTGGAAACCAAGAGGATGCCCACGAATTCCTTCAATACACAGTTGATGCTATGCAAAAAGCATGCTTAAATGGCAGCAATAAGTAAGTACAGCAAAGCATCAGTCATTTCTTATTTTGCCTCTCTGGCTTATCAGAATTCAGTTTTGCCTTTTATGTTGAAAGTATACACAGTCATTCACTGCATAACAACATTCTGGTCAATGACGAGCCACATATTTGACAATGGTCCCCTAAGATTATAATGGAGCTGAAAAAATTCCCATCACCTAGTGATGTCATAGCTGATGTAATGTTACTCACACGTTTGTGGTGATGCTGGTGTAGACAAACCTACTGCAAAATATGTTGACGAGGAGTGCCTAGCTTACTCACGGAGTGACCTGCCCAAAGGCAGCTCAGACCTTTAAGATAGAAAGCCAAACATTGGACACATTAGGTCTGACCCCAGATGAAAGGATTGTTTTGTTTTATTTTTTGGTTTGTTTTGTTTTTTGGCAGCTGGCCGGTACAGGGATGGAACCCTTGATCTTGGTGTTACCAGCACCACACTCTAACCAACTATGCTAACTGGCCAGCCCGAAAGGATTGTTGTCTACTTTAAAATTCTTATATTTTTAAATGATTCCCACCTATCCCCATAGCAAAATAATAGTTAAAAATAGTCAACACTCAGTGCTTGCTGAGTGCCAGGCACAATCCTTACCTGTAATTTAGTTTTTATAACTTTATGGGGGTAGTATTATTCTAATCCCCTTTTAACAGATGGGGAGATTTAGGCACAGAGAGACATAGTAACATATTTAAAGGGCCCACGCTCATGTAAACTAGTGGCTTATGTAGGTAACAGGAAAATTCATTGCTGTTCCTTTTCATAGTACACCTTCACACAATGACAAAACCGCCTAACAATGCATTTCTCAGTACTTACCCGTTTGTTAAGCCACATATGACTTTAGATCTGTGTTTGCTTTACCCTTTGGCTTTATACTGCCTCATCCTCAGCTGATTTGCATTATTTTAAAATGGTTAAAATTTTAAAAGGCATGCTTTTTATAATAATTTGAATTTGTTAGATTATAGATGTCAGGAAATGAATATTGGTCTTGCCATTATTTAATTTCTGAGTATCAGCAAACTTCTGCAGATCTAAAACTAGCTGCTGCTCCTTTTTAGTTGTGTCTGACATTTTCTGTTGATCTCCAGCCTTGGAAATCTGTGTTTTCTCTTTCTGTCTGTCTCTCTGGTCAGTTACCAATTGCTGTAGCTCTTTTGTTAAACATAAATGCAGACTCGAGGAAGAGTGGGGAGACAATTAGATAACAAGTCTCAATCCATTTGCTGTTGCCTAAACACAGCTGATAAATCCCCCATGTGTTCCAATTGCTGCCAGCCCTGCCTCATCCAGGCCTTCATCCTCTGGGTGATGATAGGATTCAGAACAGAGGAAGACTCTCTGCCTTCACCAGCTATTCCTTGTGTACGGGGTCTGCTGAGGGTGTCTTCCTCCTGCTTCTTGCTTCAGGGCCAAATTCCTACCTTGATTTCAGAGGGAGGGAGAGAGAGAGAGAGAGAGAGTGTGAGTGAGTGTGTGTGTGTGTCCCCTTGTGCATTAAGATGTATATAGTGTGTGTGTGTGTGTATA